ACCAAGTGTGATGAGATATTTGATTTACTAGTCAAAGATGGTCAGTTAATAAAACCAGCAGGCACTAAAGAGCCTCCTATAGACCAACAGAAAAAGAGAGGTTTTTGCAAATACCATAATTTCTTGGGTCATAAAACTTCTCAATGTTACCTTTTCAGGGATCTTGTCCAAAATGCAATCCAAAATGGAAGGTTGAAGTTTGGAGACAAAGGCAAGCAGCAGATGAAGATTGACTCCAATCCCATGCAGATTGTGGAGGCAAATTATGCTGAGCCAGAAATGGTAAACGTGGTCGAAATGGAGATCATGGCAGAAGAAAATTCTGAAATGGTAGGAGTTACTGAAAGCTTCGACACCAACTTCACCATGATAGAAGCTGCTGAAGGTTTCGACACCCATGTCAATGTGGTGGAAGAAGGTGATAATTCTGCTGGCCAGGCTGAGGCAAAAGAAGTCAAAATTTCTGAAGACTTCGACAGTGAGAATGCCACTGAAACTACTGAAGGTTTCAACGGAAAAAATGCAGTCAAAGTGGGAAGAAGCTTCAACAAGAAAAACTGTGAAAGAGATGCTGACCAAGAGGAGATTAAAACACCAGGGACTGATGACAATTCCCTCACTGTCAAACAAATGAACAGTGATACCACCAAAAATGAAGAACATCCTGTCGAAAGGGTTGCACATTGCTGCAAATACATCTATAAGGGCTTACACCCAAAAGGCAATGTTAGTCAGTCAAAGGAGGACATCCCAGAGGAAATCATGCTAGTCGAAAAAATGAACAAATTGAAAATTACAACTGAACAGAGTGCTGGGATTCATATGGTGGAAATCACTCAAAAGGGAGGACCAGACATCGACAAGGGAAAGAAGCGTCAAGAGGAGCATCAGAAGCTGGTTTACCCAGAAGAGAACGAGAGTCTGGTTGAATTCATCCAGAGGTGTCAAAGGAAGAATGCAGAAGTCATGCTTTGCCCAAGATGCAGTGCTGTGTTCGACAAGAAAGCAGCTGATGACTTAGAAGCAGCAGAAAAGACCCAGAGGAAAAGAAATTGGGGAACAGTCCCACCAACCAGAAACGAAAGATTCGACCCAAGAAGAGGGGAGCATCACAGTCAAGGGGTCGGAGAAAGACGTTTCAACACTTACAAACCATCCAACAGGCCAAATGATGACAAATGGGTTCAGCCTATAAGGGATGTCCAAGGTCAGAAGAGATGGAAGAGTTTTGAAGTGAACAGGGGTCCTTCCATGGAAGTTAAAAAGGAGGCAAAGCCAAAATACGTCTCTGAAAACTACAAAGGGAAGAATCCTATGTCCAGATCCCAATGGAGAAGATTCCAAAGGCAGAAGAAAATTGAAAAGAAAACTGTAGAATACCAAAAGGTTGGGCAGAAGGAAGCTGAATCAAGCAAATGTGTGCAGATTACGAACAAGGGAATGCCCCTGGCAGAAAAAGAAATCATTCAGAAGAATAGATCTGGTGACACCACAGAGGTGCAGAAAACAAACAATAGAATGCCAGTGGACGAAGAAGTCACAGATGAATTTGGTTCAGAATCAGATGCTTCTTTCGACGTAACTTGCAATGTGGTTTCTGTACTGCCCAGAGACTTCGACAGGATAATGGAAGTCGAAGACGAAGAGGATGACATGATGGATGATAGCATAAGCTTGAAGCCTGTATGCTACTACATAATGAACAATGGCTGTGTCGAAGAGCAAAATGCCTTCTTCGAAAAGCCAGATGATGCAATGAAGGCTCACTTAAAGCCTCTCTTCATAAAAGGAAAGGTAGAGGGTGTAGGTGTCAACAAAATTCTGATAGATGGCGGAGCAGCTGTAAATTTAATTCCTCATTACATGATAAGGAGAATTGGAAAAGATGACTCCGACACTAAGCCTCACAATATGGTGTTGTCCAACTATGAAGGTAAAGTGGGAACAACACTGGGAGTAATACAATTGAACTTGACTGTAGGATCCATCACCAGGCCTACAATGTTTGTGGTGATAGCATCAAAAGCAAATTACAACTTGCTGTTGGGAAGAGAATGGATCCATGGGATTGGGGCTGTGCCATCCTCCATGCATCAAAGAATAGCAATCTGGAGGCCAGATGGGATTGTCGAAAACATTGAAGCAGATCAGAGTTACTTCACAGCTGATGTGAACAATATCACTAGTCGTAACTTCGACAAGAACCTAGCCCATATAGCACCATGCAATCCTACGGCTTTCGACCTGACAGCTTCCGACAACGCTTACTGTTCCATGTACCTCCATCCTACACATGGTTTCCAGTGGGATAAAGAAATAATTGGGGAAACAAATTACACTTGGGGAACTGCCCATGTCAACCCAACTGGATGGGGAAGTGAATTCAGTGAAAATGACTGAAGTTTCAGCAATGGAAAGGATTTCGGCTTATATAGCCGAAAAACAACACAAAGCGGCCCTTGAGGCTGAAGTAAGAAATATGGCTGTCGAAGCCAGCACTCAGGTTGTCGAAGGACAACACCCTCAAGAAAATATTGAGGAGCAACATGCAAATCAGAGTTTTGAAGAAGACTCAAATGGTGAATGGCAGAACCAAAGACTTGATGCCATTTATGATGACGAACCTTTGGGGTTCGAAAAGGATCCAACCTCCACCAATATGAAAATGGTGGCACAGGATCCCTTAGAGGAGATTAATCTAGGACTGGGGGCAGAGAAAAGGCCCACTTACATCAGTGCCAAGTTGAATCCTCAACTCAGAATCGAAATAATCCAGCTGCTGAATGAGTTTAAAGACTGCTTCGCATGGGATTATGACGAAATGCCTGGTTTAGACAGAAGTTTGGTGGAATTGAAGTTGCCAATTCTGGAAGGGAAGAAGCCAATAAAACAGACCCCCAGACGCTTTGCACCTGAAATTCTGTCGAAGATCAAAGAAGAGGTCGAAAGTCTTCTAAAATGCAAATTCATCCGTACAACAAGGCTGGGGATTTCTTAGGCTTTGTGGTCCACAAAAAGGGGATTGAAATCAATGAAAACAAGGCTAAAGCAATAAATGCAACTGGAAGTCAAAGATCACTTCGACAGCAAAAGACATTTCTCCTTTGATAGTCGAAAATATCTTTTGCTGGGGGGCAATTTGTAAACCCATAATTTCGACAAGACCATAATTTCGACAAGATTAAAATTCAGGCTTTAAGGTCATCTTTGTCGAAGGATAGCATCAGGAGGAGAATCCAAGAATTGCTGACAAGGTTTTAAAGTTTCATTGTTTCGACAGAAATAGATATAATGTTCTGGCAGAATAGTTTGGAGAGTTTGTGACTGAGGGCTTCGACAGAAGAAGTTTGTTAAAAAAAAGATAAGGTTTGGCAAGTGCTGAAGAGTTTTTCTCCTTTAAAAGGGTTTCGACAGTTTTGAAGAATTACAAGGTTTCGTCACCAAGGAAGAGATTCAAATTCAAAGGTTGTAACCTTTGGCAGTTGGACACATGGAGGTTTCAGAGAAGAAATTTACATGCAGGCTGACACTTGTCGTTTAGTTATAGTTTTTCCGTTCTAAGCAGTTATTTTGTTTATGTATAAATAGGATAGTTTGTGGTTAGAATGGGTGTGTGAAAATTTGTACAAAATTCCTGTAAAAGCTCTAAGTACCCAGTGTGAGAGAAAATGAGTCTAGTATTTGGAACAATGTACGTTTAAACACCAGTTATATTTCAAAGTCATTTTAAATTACTTGTTTATTCTTCAAGTCCATGTCATTTTAAATTTCATTTACTTTTTGCAAGTTTTTAGCCTTTCGACATTTCTTTGTTCTTGTTTAAACTTTTAACCTTATTTCACCTTTAAGTTCAAACTTTCGTTACTTGCAAAATCAAAGTCCTTAATACTTTGACAATATTGATAAAACAAACCGCAAATTAGTCACCAAAAGTCTAAGAGTATTTCGACAGAACCAAATGCACATGTATCCCAGGACTTGTATGGTTGGTCCTGCAAGTAACCCAACTTTCTGAAGAAATTGGTTAACCAGAGGTTGTTCGCCAGAAAACACAGCGAACACCACCATAAAACAACCATCAATATAAGCTACAACAACTTCATGTTTATATCACACTAATGAACAAATATTCATGCATCATAAAGAATACCGAAACATATATCAATATAACACAAGCAACTGGAACTAAGGGACAAAAACAAAAAGATTACTTTCATATTAAAAAAAATCACCTTCTACTACAATATTGAGAGTATTTTTTATTAATTAAAACAAAAAGACATGTGGTCCATCGGTAATTTTGAAGCTCTTAAATGTTGTACTTTCATACTAGTTAATAGAGTCACGAACTTCACGTTATTTGTATTAAATGTCACATATTACTTCAAGTTGAAGATTCCTATACCACAAAATTACCAATTCAAAGACGAAACCTTTATTCTATTATACTATGGCGTGTTTGGATTAACGGTGAATAGAATTGATTTTAACAGAATTGAAATTGATAAAATTCATTTTAATAGAATTGAGTTTAATATAATAATTTATTTGTGAATATATTTATATAAAAGTGGGTTAAATAATAAATTTTAATGTAAAAATCTCTCTAAATAAATTCTGAAAATAGAAGTTACAAATTTTAACTTGAAATATAATTAACTCTAAAGTCAAAATCAATTTTAATTTTAATAAAACAAATATTTTAAAATCACTCAGAATCAATTCTACACCTTTAAAACTGATTCTAGAACTTCTAAAAACTAATCCAAAAATATCATCATGACACAATAAACAAAATAAACAATAAACAAAAATATCATCATGACATGAACCCAAATCTTGTACACAAACGCCAACGAACATATAATGTCCCAAATTAATGAGTTATTTAAAACGGCAATAAGATTAACTAGATGTAATAATTTAATCATCTCTAATTAACTACTAACAACATGATTAAAGACAATAATTAAGCTAAATTTTATAGTAAAACCCTAAATCTAAGCACACGCAATACCAATCGTGGTGGTCGTGAACCTCTCCGAAGCAGACCTTTTAACCAAAGAAGAGATTTCCGGCGAAAGAGAACCGATCTCAAACTCAGGAGCTTCTGGTATAGTAGAAAGAACCGATCCAGATTTATCAAAAACCACGTAGAAACGCTCATTAGAGTATTTTTCTTCCACTTTGAAACTATTGCTGCTTGAAGAAACGTTGGATTTATCATTGCTTGACTTGAAAACGGAACGAATGAATTTATGAAAAGAGCGAGAGATCTTGTACGGCTTCCTTGAGGTAACCGAAGAAGAAGAAGAAGAAGAAGAAGATGATGATTTCTGAAGAACTGTGACTTGACGATCTGGTAAATGAGACATGGAAAGTGTTCTTCTGTTTATGGCTGAGTCAAGTTGGTGTTTGAAGGAGTTGAGTTCGAAGGAATCATAGAGAGTGCTTCCACAATCCCATACAGTTTTGTTACTGTAATTATTTGACTCTTTTATTTCTTCTTCTTGTGAGAGTTTCTGTTTCTCCATATATATGTTTGAGTAGAATACTATAGGGACTGTGTTTTCTGCGTTAAGTAGTAAATACTAAATAGGAGCGTTATTTTGATTGAGAGAGAGTGTGACGTTTTTTGATATTGATGCTTTTTCTAATGGTTGGTGAAGGATCAAACAGATTAGTTATGACTCGTCTACCACAAAGGTTTACCATCACGTACTACATCTATGGACCGTAAAATCCATTTCATTATGTAGCATTTTTTTCTTTCATATGCATTGCTCATAGTTGTTAACTAATCATTGGCCGAATGGAGATATATATATATTTCTGTTATAAATTACCTTTCCGTTCTTTATATTTTAATGATATCTTCCATGGATGGATAATTAAACAATTTGTAGTTTTATTCTTATCCAAGTTATTGGAGTGTTTACTTTAAAAAATTTTAAGGAGAATTCTATGATATCATTTGAATTTGGTTGAGTGACAAAAAAAATCAGTTAATTTCAATGCATTAGTGTCAATTAAATGTTGGGTATCATTATAAGAATGTAATTTTAAAAAAATGTAATTATCTGCTTTTCATTGATATACTTTAATATGATTCGTCAATAATATATCACTATTGCCAAATTCTATTTACTCACGAATATAATTAAAAGTCAACATACAATGAATATAGATATATTTTAATGTTTTTTTTTCAATTAAAGTGGAATGTTAGACCGACGTTGAGACTGTTTTTGAAATTCTAAAATAGTGTGAAGGGAAGATTTTGGATAAAAATATCTGTAATTTGATATCGTGAGGGGTCGTGAAGAATGTGATCATGACCTCAATCTACTTTTTCACAAATAAAATGAATATTCATTACAATGTTTTTCGTTTGTTGACATTGAACTGAGTTATCAGAGAGATGAATGGCATTGTCATTGTCATCACAGTAGACCATAACGGCCTTGTGAATGAGATAATGTAACTCAAGAAGAAGGTTGTGCAACCATCATGATTCAGATACCACATTTGCAACATCACAATATTCGCCTTCGACACTAGAGCAATATAATGTGGGTTGTTGTTTGGACGACCAAGAGAACAAGTTATCACTAAGAAAAAATATAGTAAATAGAGACGGATCATCGAATATCAGAGCATCCTCCCCAATTGATATATGTATATGAAATTAAAAAGGTAGTAAATGAGAGATAAAGATGCAATCATGTTTTGTATGCCTTGAATGTAGCACAAGATGCGTCGGGGGCAGGACCGTCTCAAAAAATTTAGAGGCCATGTTCCAATTTTCATAATAGATCCTAATAAAAAAATGTTATATTTTATTAAAATTATAAATACATTAAAAATTAAAGAAAAAGAAAAAAATATATATATATATATATATATATATATATATATATATATATATATATATATATATATATATATATATATATATATATATATATATATATATATATATATATATATATATATATATATATATATATATATATATATATATATATATATATATATATATATATATATATATATATATATATATATATATATATATATATATATATTGAAGAATTGGTAAATTGGCTTGTTTATTCTCAATCACAAGTAACCATATTTATAATAGCAGTACATCAAAATCATATCTTTGGAGATCTGTAAATTAGGAAATATCCTAGCAATTATTTTCCTAAAATATGATTTCCTAAATATATCTCAATACCCCCCCCCCCCCCTTCAAGTTGGAGCATGGGGTTCAAAAATGGCCAACTTGGAAAGGAGAGAATTAAACTGAGCCTTCCCGAATGCTTTTGTGAAAATGTACGCCAATTGAGACGATGTGCAGACGTGAGATGGTGAAATCAAACCCTCATTTATTGCATCCCGAACAAAATGGCAATCAATTTCAATATGTTTTGTTCGCTCGTGAAAGATTGGATTTTTCGCAATATGCAACGCAGACTCACTATCTGAAAATAATTTAATTTCCTTAGGATGGTGAACACCCAAACTCAACAATAGTCCTTTTAGCCACTTTAGTTCACCAGTGACCGCGGCCATAGACCTGTACTCAGCTTCGGCAGAGGATCGGGAAACCGTATTTTGTTTCTTCATCTTCCAAGAAATCGGAGATTGGACTAAGAACACTATCCATCCTGTCAGAGAACGGCGAGTAAGGGGACAAGCCGCCCAGTCCGAATCACACCAACCTTCCAATGTCAATTCACTATCTTCACGAAGCAAAATACCCTGACCAGGAGTCCCTTTCAAATAACGAACGACTCGAAGGGCTGCCTCCCAATGCTCCATGCAAGGTTCTTGCATAAATTGAGACAAAATATGGACCAAATAAGCCAAGTCTGGTCGAGTGACCGCAAGATAAACCAGACGACCCACAAGCCGTCGATATGATTCGGGATTCGGCACAAAATCACCAGTAGCAAGACCAAGCTTATGGTTCTGCTCAATGGGAAACGCACTTGGCTTTGCTCCCAACAATCCTATTTCAGAGATAATATCCAAAGTGTACTTTCGTTGACACACAGATAATCCTAATGAGCTACGTGCCACTTCAATTCCTAAAAAATATTTGAGACTTCTCAGGTCCTTCATTTTGAAGCACTCACTGAGATAAGCTTTGAAAATGGTAAGTGCAGCGGAATCATTCCCAGAAATAATAAGATCATCCACATAAACCAAGACATTAATCCGAATAACGCCTTTAGCATATGTGAAGAGATAATAGTATTAGTAGGATTGAAGAAAACCATAACCTTTCAAAGCCGACACCAATTTTGCAAACCAACACCTAGGAGCTTGTTTCAAGCCATACAACGACTTGCGCAACCGACACACCAAAGACGGTTCTGAACTCTCAAATCCGGGAGGTAATTTCATGTACACCTCTTCATCTAAATCACCGTGCAAAAAGGCATTATGGACATCCATCTGGTGCAATGCCCAATTTTTTGAAGCTGTTATTGCTAAGAAGACACGAACCGTAGTCATTTTGGCCACCGGAGCGAATGTTTCATTGTAATCAATACCCTTCTGTTGGTGATTGCCCAATACTAGTAATCTTGATTTGAGGCACTCAATATCCCCATTTGATAAATATTTGGTCTTGTACACCCATCGACTACGAAGAGCACGTTTTCCTGGCGGGAGATGTTCCAAAGTCCATGTTCCATTGTCTTCAAGAGCCTGGATTTCCTCCTTCATTGATTGTCTCCACCCGTCGTACTTCATAGCCTCTTTAAAGGATTTAGGATCATTACCCTTGATAACAGCTGCAAGAAATCTCCGATAATTTACAGAATAATTGTCACAATTTATATAATGTGCTAAAGGATAAGGAGTACTTTGGGAGAGATCAGAAGAGGAAGAAGATGAGGATGTACTATTAGCAAAAACCGTATGTGTCACAAAGTATGCAACTTGCCGTAGTACACAGAAACCGACATTAATTTGGTTTGTTCGCACTTTGCAATTGAAGAACGCAATTGTTGAATGCGAGGACCATTAGTTTGTGCGAAACGCTGCTTGAGGTGATCCCAAAAGGGTTTAGCCTTTCTGAATTTGGACAAGGATGTCTTCAAATCGGGGTCTATCCTATTCGTGATCCACGATATGAGCATCGCATTAATCGTCGTCCAATCAGACTGCGTGCAAGGGGATGACGGTTTATTGATCGAGCCATCCAGAAATTGAATTTCCTCCGAGCTTCTAATGTCGTTTGTACATCGGCTGCCCAAGATTCATAATTATCTGCTGTTAGGCGGGTGGGTGTGATGAAATATCTTGGTCGATCTTGCGATCCGAGGTAATATTGTGAATTAGGTTCAATCTTAGGTGGTGTTGGTGGTGGTGGTGGTGGGGTTTCACCGTCAGCCATATCAATTTATTCTTAAGAAAAACGTTCTCAAGCTCTGATTACCATGAAGAATTGGTAAATTGGCTTGTTTATTCTCAATCACAGGTAACCATATTTATAATAGCAGTACATCAAGATCATATCTTTGGAGATCTGTAAATTAGGAAATATCCTAGCAATTATTTTCCTAAATCCTAAAATATGTTTTCTTAAATATATATATATATATATATATATATATATATATATATATATATATATATATATATATATATATATATATATATATATATATATATATATATATATTAGTTGTGAATCTTTAACTATTTAATTATATTTTAAAACTTATTAAAAAAAATTAACTTTAATATGGGTTGAATTATAGATGTTAATAAATAATATATACTTATAAAATGATAATATGTTCTGCGGTAACAATATTGAAGCAAATTGAAGCAATTCTATGGGTGTGTTTGATTCCATTTTACACAAATTTGGCACTTTTTGTTAATACACGTTAATTATAAAAAATTGTTTTACTATGGATCCAACCATCTATCTCTTCCTCAAAAAGAAAATGTTTAACCTATTCGCTACTAAGCATATAATTATAAGATGTTGCAACAGATAATATACATATAATTATTAAATGTTTATATTTTATATAAAAAAATTGAGACCCCGATTTTTTGGAGGCCCTGTGCAACGGGCCAGGTTGCACGGGCCTAAATCCAGCCCTGGTCGGGGGGTTTGCATGTGATCTTTCATCAATTTGTGTAGGAGAAGGCTTATTTGTTGTATTGCATATGAAATGTTTGGTAGAATGAAAGTGAGATAACGAAAGGCATCAGGCAAGGCTATCATAGAGAGATGGATCCTCATGTAGAGTGTTATGTGTGACATTCATCTTTAGTTTTGTATTAGTCAAGGTTAGGCATGATTTTTAACAAGATATTTCAAGCACATGTTAGAATTTCTTAGGCATACTTTTCTATGAGAGAAATAAACCTTTTTGGTGGCGAGTGACTGCAATAACGAAGAAGTAGCTTATGAGTCCCAAATATTTCATAGCAAACTCGAAACCCATAAGTGAAATAATAGATTTTTGCAAAGCATCAGAAGTTGTGGTAAGGATTA